TTTTTGTTTTTGGTTTCCTTGAAACTTTTATCAGTATTATTTCTTTCTTCCTCTTTTCTTTTGATTTATTTTGTTATTCTTTATCTAATTTATCATATTTGGCAAAGGAATCATTTTGTCAATAAAGTTAAAAAGACTCAAGATTTGAGCTGAGGTAGTAATATCTACTAAAATGAAATTATTAGGCTATGGGTCAGAACACATATACCAGGTCTATCCCTATTAAGTCATGTGTAACTTCTAGCAAGTCATCTCATCTGTCTAGCTAATAGTTTCTACATCTGCAAACTGGAAAGAGATTATAAAGCCTGAAGATTCCTGTTAGGTTTAAAAAGTTACTCCTAGTAAAACTGGTAAACTTTAAGCTTCACTTGAGAAAGTAGGGTGTTTGAAGGAATAAGAGTCACTGGAACAACCAGATTGGGAATCACCACCTTAAGAAGTAATTATATCTATGTTTTTCCACTGACCAAGTTACCTGTAAACTGGAATGTGCTGTGATAACCCCTTTCTATTGCTGTAATGTTCACAAAATCTGAGAAAGTGAGAGAAGGTGAAGTGTAAATAAAAAATTTTAAATTATTAAAAAAAGTAATAATATCTAAGAAAATTCAGTTTTTCTGTGACAGTGAAATATAACGCAGGCTTATACTTTATAAATGTATAGTTCATAATCAAGCAAACTCATTTGATGTTTCACAAACATGAATGTTCTACTACAAGATCTCAATGAAGATGTATCTAAGTTACATTGCAGAAGTCAAAGATTTTAAAAATAAAAAATTAGCACCATGTCGTTAAACCACATTTCCAAATTATTCTTAGAAGGAAAGAAATAACCTGGGGTCAAGCGGTGGGTTTCAGAGGCTCCATAATAAACACTGTGATCTTGCAAACAAAAGTCTATGTATATTTATATACAATTTAATTGGAAGAGTTAATGACATTCGATAGATTTGCAAAGAGTCTGGGACCTGAAAGAGATTGGAAAGACCATTCTAGAAGAGTAATCCAACTTTCTACCTTTAATCTCTGATTAAATTTTTCCATGGTCCTACTTTGCTTCGTGATGGCATGTAAACAACATACCATATAGACTTTACGCCCTAATTCAAAATTTTTATTTAAAGGCAGATGGTTTCACACATATTAAGACAACATTTAAAAAATTTTAAAAGTTCTTTATAGTGATAGATATCTCACTTATTCTGACAGAGGGCAGATAATTCTAAATTTACTTGTGGATTTCAGAAAGAATTCATGGAAGATAAGTACATTATATTGATGTATGTGACTTCATGAGGTCTACAGAATTCTCACATACTTATTTACTCTGCTAAATTCTTGGAAACTCATGACAGTATTTTTTTGATTATGGGTTATTTGTCAAAATATCATTAGTGGATGGATTACAATATATCTTCAGTCCTGTAGCCAGACGTCATTTTAGCATTTATTCTTATGGATTCTTAAAGGATAAATACAATAATATCATTACTTTAATTGGTACTAAAAACATCATTTATATTAATTCTTTTTGAGGAAAAACAGGAAGAAATATTTAGTGGAGTAAAATGTAACATCATACAAGGTAGAAAAAATTTGAAGTTGATAAACCTGACTCTGTAAAACAGCATCGTAATTAAATAAATACAAGAGAATTACTTACGGATAAAGTTCTGAAAGTTGTTCAGCTATTGCATAAGCTGTTGGGTCTCTGTCTAAGGCATAGAGAGCAATTTTTGACTCCTTTTGTAGAATGGCTCTTGTGTGTCCTCCTGAACCAAATGTCATGTCTAGAAAAATCTAGCCAACAGAGAAAAAGAAATTACCACTTAGTATGGACAAAACTCCTTTTGCCAACTATCTTGATTTCTAGAAGCATATGATGATTTTCAGAGCTGATAACAAACAGAAAATAATTATAATAGTTTTACCTAGAGTTCAATTTGTTATACATGAGATCTGGCTCAATTATGAATGATCTGTCCAAAAGAACTGATCAGAGTATCAGTAAAATACTCCCTGGCAGAGGCTGACAAATTTATATTTGCCTCCATCAGTTCAAACTGGCCACACTGCTGTGCACTAACTTTTTAACACTTTCTAGCAATTTGGAGATGGCTTACAATTAGTATTCTTCTAAATGCTTTATACAAAAATTAAAAATATTCAAGGGGAGAGATGGGGGGGTGAGAGGGAGAGAGAGAGAATGAATGAGAATGAAAATATCAAACAATAAATAGTAACAGGACAAATCAAATCTGGAAAACTGGCAAATTAACAAATAAAACCTGGAAAAAGCCCAAGGCTTTTAAAGTAAAAACACCTGGGACAAATTCTAGGTTTGACACTAAGTAACTACATCTCTGGGAAAGTCCAAGTCACAAAATTCTGTTGTCTTTAACTTTTGCCAGTGTTTAATAAAAAAAAGAAGATGAAGAAAAAAAGAAGATATACAACAAGCACCTACCTAATTAGTAAGGTAACGTGTAATTTCTCATCTAAACCAAGACACTTTTGAGAGTGAAAGATTTGTCAGTAATAATTTTGCCAGGCCAACAGGATACAGTGTATGTGAGTGCCTATCTTTTAAGTGCTTGGATCACTCCAGACACACAGTACAATTAATTGGATTTAAATCAAATTCTTTGCTATTTAATTTGGCCATGCTCTAGAGGAAATAGTCAGGTCACAGTTGAGCAAGAAACCATACATGGCCCATCAGAAACATATGTGTGTACAAGTTAGTTGATTGTGACTGATTTGGAAGTGAAGACACTCTCCACTCATCTCCTCAAAGTTATGCTCTTAGTTTAATGGGGCCTTTTTTTTTTTTTTCCTTTTTGTCTTTTTTTTCGTGTCCGGCAACCGATCGCAACCCTCAGTGTCGTGCCCATACCGGACCGGGACCGGCAACGGGATCGCAAACCTCGGTGCTGCGCCCGCACCTCACTCAGCCAGTAAGCGGGAACCGGTCTGTATGTGGGATCCGAACCCTCGGTGGGAGGGCCGCCGCGCTCCCAAGCGGCGCACTGTAGCAGTGCACCACCGGGCAGGCCCGTAATGGGGCCTTTTAATAAACTTCACTGGTACTATGAAAATAAAAACAATTAGTTTAATACTATTCAATACAATGACAAACAACATAAGTCTATAAGCCAGGCTTAAAAAAAAATTTAGAAAGGAACCAGGGCTGCAGACCCCTCAGCCCAGAAGCAGGCAACACAGCACACCTGGGATCCTAAGCAAGGAGCCAAGGGCCACAGCACCCTCTACCCAGAAGCAGGCAAGAGAGCATGCCCAGAGTCCTAGGCAGGAGTTGAGAGCAGTACCCCCAACCCAAAGGCAGGCAAGAGAGCATGACAAAAGTACCACTTCCACATGGGTGGCCCACCACAGTCATGGCAGCTGAAGAAGCAGCTTGATGCCACAGCAGCAAGCATAGCCACTGTGCAGGCATCCCACTGGACACTAGACTGCATTGACACAAGGAAAGTCACCAGTGGAGACTGGAAAAAGAAGAGGATATCTCTCTCCTCAAAACCCACTTCAGAGTAATAGAAGAAGCAACTTCTCTACCAGATGACCAGACATCAACTAGTATTTCTAGATACTACATCTAGTGTTT